CAGAGTTCATCGGAGTTCATCGCTGTTCATCGCGGAGTTCATCGCCCATGATGTTTGTGTTTTTCATATATATATATGGTTTGGCAGCTGTTTCATCGGAGATCATCGGTTCAGAGTTCATCGGTAGTGTTTCGGTGGGGGAACCGGAGCCTCGCCAGCCGAATTGGCCGCGCCCTCACCATCTTCCCCTCCTAGCTCTCTGTCACCTGTTGCTGGGTTCCCTGGGGGCCATGCAATGAGTGCACCCCGCTGCTGAGCTCTATGCTAGTACAGTCTAGCCCGCTGCAGCTGCCTGATCCCTACTGTGCTTATTTCTTAGCCCACTTGTTGTTCAACGCGTGCTGCTCGTTGATGATCTGGTTCAGCTGGATAAGCTCGTCCACAGGCTGAGTCATCCTGCCCCCCCCCATCTATCCACTGGCGCCAGATGAGCAAGGGGGGGCGGGACAAGGCTCGCATCGAGAGGCGGGGGGGCGGGATGAAGGGGCAGGGATGGGGGAGGGAAGGGGCAAATGAGGGGCGAGAGGGGCGGGATCGAGTCCTTCGCATTCAGTCGCAGTTTCGTTTTTGGATGAGGGCGAGAAGGACGGACGTCGGACGAGTGGGAGTGTTGCGGTCGAGTGCAATCAGATCGAGTTCTGAATTGTAAGTTTCTAGTTGGCTTGATGTATGTATCACTGTTCTCTGGCTGTGATCACATCTTGTGATCTATAACTATATAGAGTTACGTGTACATGTGTGCGTCGTGTTCTATATATAAGTATGACTAACGGTGTGTAGACATATCTGCATTAAGTGCAATGCTCTGAACACACGCCCGCTGTCCTGTCAGTAATCTTCTTATACTCCTCGATAAGCTCAGTCGGCGCCATGTCCTTGACGAGGCTGGCCTTGTTCTCGATGCACATGCGCACGAAGTAGTCGGTGCGGCTGCTCATGGCATGGTCGACCTTCTTCTGCAAGGACTGAGCCCAGTCGTCTGGGTGAACCTCCCTCCCCCACGCGGGGCGAACGAATGGGCGCAGGGCCGAGGGAGCGGGCGGAGTGGAGTCGGTTGGAAGGGATTGGAACCACAAGGGGCACGTAGTGCGGGGGGGGGGCGAGGCGAGGGGGGGCGGGAACGAGAAGGGTCTGGGTTTGGGCGGGCCAGGGAATTGCGCAGCGAGCGGGATCATTCACTGCAAGTGCGAAAGCAGACCTACAGTGAGAATGCATAGTAAGGACGCGTGGTAAGGACGCAAGACCCTTGGAGGCCGAAGTTGAAGTATTCTTGGCGGCAGGCGGCCAAGCACCCAGGGAACGCGAGAAACTAGCCTGCGAAAGTTGTTAGGGACGAGCCGCAGAGGCTGAGGCAGGCAAGGACCCAAGGGTACCCTTGAAAAAGTCGTCTGTCCTTACTATGCGCGTTGACTGTACTTCACGCGAACTCGTTCGGTCAAGTGTGGAGGGAGGAGGACGATGAGAGAGGCCGCGCCATCCCCCCCCCCCCCCGCACCTTCAACCACTTCCACTCGGGCATGGCGTTCATCGCGGACAGGAACGTGGAAGCAGTATTCACCGCCGTCTGGTAGGTCGCCAGCACTGCCTTCGCCTTGGTCTCTGCTGCTTTGACGAGCGCCTGCTCATCCTTTTTCCTTTGCTTTGCTGCCCTTTCCTCGGGCGTCTCGATCTTCTGCTGCCCCTTGTCGAGGGCGCAACTACTCGCGCTCCCCAACCCTGGCCATCCCAATAGTGAACACAAGATCGGTGCACATGACTTCGTGGCCAAGCCATGGAAGCGTAAGCACCGATCCTGTGTTCGGAATTGACTTGGCCAAGATCTTAGGCGTATAGTTGGCGCCCCGACACCTTGGACGCGGGCTTGGCCCGTGCCTTCGCCCTGCGCCTCTGGGCTGGCTCCTCCACCTCCTCTCCAGGAGCTTGGCCGCCGCCCGCTGCCGCCTGGGCTGCCACCTGAGCTGCGCTGCCCGCTGCCACCTGAGCTGCGCCGCTGGCTGCCACTGGAGCCGCGCTGCCCGCTGCCACTGGAGCTGCGCCGCCCGCTGCCACCTGAGCTGCGCCGCCCGCTGCCACTGGAGCTGCGCCGCCTGCTGCCACTGGAGTTGCGCCGCCTGCTGCCTCTGGAGCCGCGCTGCCCGCTGCCGCCTGAGCTGCGCCGCCCGCTGCCACTGGAGCTGCGCCGCCCGCTGCCACTGGAGCCTCGCTGCCCGCTGCCACTGGAGCTGCGCTGATGTGCCCGCTGCCACTGGAGCTGGCGCCATCACCATTGTACTTGCGGCGCTTGCTGTCCTGCAGATTGGGGCGGGGGGGCGGGGGGGGGGGGAGGGGGGGGGTTTGGGTGGTCGTGGGTGGGTGGGTGGGGGGGGGGGGGGGGGGGGCGTGCCGATGGCGATGATGATGATGATGATGATGAGGGGGAGGGGGGGGAGGAGGAGGAAGAGGAGGATGGCGATGACGACAGTGATGACTGTTATTCTGGCGACGATGATGCTGGCGATGATGGCGCTGCTGCCACTGCTGATGATGACGCTCATGATGACGATGATGATGAGGATGATGCTGAGGAGAAGGAGGAGCTGGAGGTGGTGGGGGAGGGGACAGGTTGAGGACGAGGGGGTGAGGAGAGATAACGGCGCTCTGATGAATACCCTCAGCCTCTTCTTCCTCTCCTTTCCTCCTCCTGCTCCTCCCCTCCCACTGTTGCTGCTGATCCCCCAACTCGTCTTCCTCCATCCAATCGTCGTCCTCCTCCGCCGCCTCATCCCCCTCATCCTCCTCCCCCCCCTCCTCCTCCTCTTCCTCATTCCACATTCGCCCATGCACTCCTCCTCGAGCTTATGGTTGCCCTCGTCGATAATCGCAACCTGCAGGGCCTGCTCCTCCAGCCCCCTCTTGGCCAGGGCCTTCGCGGCCTCGCTGACCTGGGCTAATGCTCCAACTCCCCCAGAAGTCGCTGCGGAGGGGGAGCGGGGAAGGGGCTGGGCCATTAATTGGCAGATTCATCTTAGGAGTATGCGCATGCGCAACTATATATATATATATATATATATATATATATGCGTGTGCAGACATGCATGCATATGCGATTGTGTGTGTGTGTGTGTGCGTGCGTGCGTGCGTGCGTGCGCGCGTGCGCGCGCGTGCGTGCGCGCGCGCTAGCGACAGCCTGGTAGAGGGGGGCGGGGTGCTCAGGACGGCGCAGGGGGGGCGGGGGGGCGGCAGCAGCTGGGCGCGTGGCGCGCACTTCTTTCAAGGCACAGCCCGGCCCGCGAGCAACTCCCCGCGGGGGGGGGTCTAGGGGGGAGGGGGGGGGGGGTGATCATGAGAACGAGCGGCAGGATGACATATACCCGCAGACCTCCATTCCAGAACTGAGACCTGCGCTGCTGAGCACCGTCTCCAAGTCAGCCGTGGGCTGCAGCTCCTTGTAGCTTGTCCACGCCTTCTCCATCTCCTCCCGCCTGCCGACTTCGAGGTAGAGGTAGCGCATACGCTTGGCCATGTCGTCCCACCTGCACCAGTCGCCGCCCATCTTGATGCAGCTCTCGACGTAGTTCTGGGCGGCAACTATGTTGGTGGGGTCGTCGTAACCCCCTTCTTCCTGCCCGCCCCCCGTTCGAACTCACAACGCGCGTGCTCGCGCGACCATTCGTGAGAGCACGCGCGCTGTGAGTTCGACGTCGCGCACTGCCACTGAGCGCGATGCAACTGATGCGAACGCACGCACACGAGCCAACCCTGCGCCTCCATGAAACGGTCGGCGCTGTAGGCCGATGGGAAGAAGGACGAGATGAGGGGGCGGGATCAATGAACGCAGAAGCAAGACAATGATGAGAGGGTGCATGGAGGACCACACGACGCAGAAGGCCGCTGTTTCGACCTGCCATGCTTGCGCATCGCTTGCCCCCTCCCCCTCCCCCCTGGCGCCCGCCTGAACGATCTTCGAGAAGCTCTTGTACGTCGCTTTCTCGGTCGACACCTCCCGAGATAATAATGCGCGCGCGGTGTGACCCAGGGTGGGCGAGAGCGAAATCTCTCCTTCGTTCGTTCTCCCTGTCTCGTTTTTTTTTGTTGTTGTTTTTTGTTTGTTCTCTCTCTCTCTCTCTCTCTATCACCCTCTCTCGCTTTTGTCATCTCCCTCCTCTCCTATCTCTCGGTGCCCACCCTCCCTCTATGCCAATATCTATGTAGATGGGGCGAGAGAGAGCGATAACGAGAGAGAGAGAGAGAAAGAGATATGGGGAGCATCGTGGACAGGGGGCCAGAGAAAGACAGAAAGAGAGAGGGAGAGAGAGAGAGAGAGAGAGAGCGACCGAGAGAACGTGAGGGATCCAGAGGGATACACGCAGCACCTGCAGGGATAACAATAGAGATGGAGGGAGAGAGAGAGAGAGAGAGAGAGAGAGAGAGAGAGAGAGGAGAGAGAGCGATATATAGAGAGAGAGGGAGAGCGCGAGAGAGAGACATGAGGAGAGACAGAGGGGGCGCGAGATGCAGACGGGGTGGAGAGGGAGGGAGGGGGGAGGAGAGAGAGCGAGAGAGAGAGAGACTACGAACACAGACAATGCCAGAAACAATCGTGCACACTGCTGTCTTGCCGCCACTGAGCAATGCTCCACCTCCAATCCCCTCCCGCCTTTTTGTATACTTCCATCTTGCTGAATACCTCCTTCAACGTCTTCAGCTTCCTCATGGCCCACTCCTTCCTGAACTGTTGCTTCGCGGCGACCGTGTTGCCGACCGCCTTCAGCGCCTGCGGGCGCGGTCGGGCGATGCACTATCTCATGCCCCCCAGGTTCCTCAGCTCTAGTGATGTAGGTTCGCTGCGGCTCACTGCTGCTACTTGCAGGTGGCACAGGCGGGCTGCAGCGAACCGTAGCAGGTCCCATTCGTGAATGACACCTGCAACTGTTCTAGGTGATCATCATAATGACCACTGGTTATGGTCTAGGACATCATATGGGAGCGTTCGGGGGAATCATATATACGCCCACCCGTGCCTCTTTCAGCTTCGGGTCTTTGTGCACCGCCCTCTCGAACTGCTGCGCCACAGGGGTTCTCGTTTTCACTCCGTCTTTGATTGCGTCCTCTAACTGTTTGATGAGCTGGGCATCTGTGCCGCTCAACTTCTTCGCAGCCTGCTTCTTGAGCTCCTCCTCCCCTTTCTGTGTCAGGAATGTCTCCAATTGGTTCGCACGCTGCATTAGGTCTTGCGAGTGGCCACCCCCTGCCCGATCAGTCTCGAGCTTGACGTTAATGAAGCCACCGCTGTCGCCGCCGCTGCTGGAGCCCACTTCGCACGGTTGGGTGCCCCTCTGATCAGCAGGTGGTTCGGCTTCCATTGGGGCAATGGCTCCGAGGTCGTCGGCTGCTCCAGCGCCGCTCGGATGTGCCGTGCGCGTGGGGCTCGAGGCTGGCGCCATCTGACGCTCGGGATCTGACATGCCAACCCGTTCGTGGTAGCGCCTGCGTTGTTCTGAGTCGTCTGGCATGCGGTCTGGCAGCGGTGACTCCTGCGTGGGCTGGTTGTGCTGAGCGGCTGGCTGGCCTCCTGTCGACTCCACGGGAATCTGCTGGCTGTGCTGAGCGGCTGGCTGGTCGCCATCCCGTTGCATGGGCTGGCTGTACTGAGCGGCTGGCTGGTCGCCCTCGCGGTGCACGGGCGGGCTGCGCTGAGCGGCTGGCTGGTCACCCTCTCGTTGCATGGGCTGGCTGTGCTGAGCGGCTGGCTGGTCGCATGTCGACTCCACGGTAACGGGCTGGCTGTGCTGAGCGGCTGGCGGGTCGCCATCCCGTTGCATGGGCTGGCTGTGCTGAGCGGCTGGCTGGTCACCTTCGCGTTGCATGGGCTGGCTGGGCTGATCGGCTGGCTGGTCGCCATCCCGGTGCATGGGCTGGCTGTGCTGAGCGGCTGGCTGGTCACCCTCGCGTTGCATGGGCTGGCTGGGCTGATCGGCTGGCTGGTCGCATGTCGACCCCGCGGGAATGGGCTGGCTGTGCTGAGCGGCTGGTTGGTCGCCCTCGCTCTGCATGGGCTGGCTGTGCTGAGCGGCTGGCTGGTGGTCACCCTCGCGCTGCATGGCCAGGGCTCTGTCCCACATGTGCTCGTGCAAGGGGGGGGTGGTCGCGGTGGCCGTGCTCGCGCGTGGAGTCCACCAACGTCTGCGTCATCTGGCTGGAGGTATCGTGCACGCGCTCTGGTTGCTCTATCGACAGGCGTGGTGGAGTGGCGCCGCCCAGCGCGGCAGGAGGCTGGCGCTGGCTGGCGTTGGAGAGCGGTGCCTCGCCCAGGGAGGGCACGGCGAGAGGGGATGAGAATGGCGTGGATGACGAGGGTGGCGAGGTGTGCGTGGGGGGGGGGGGGCGGCGAGGGCGGCCATGCCTCTCGACCCCCCTCATCCCCACCCCCTTCCTCCCCCTGTTTCAGAACGCTGACTCCCACGGTGCCCCAGAGAGAAAACATGGAATGAGGGAGCCGCAAGGGGGATGGGGGGGGGAGGGGGCGGAAGAGAATGCCCCATTCGACTAAATTCACTCACCCTTCAAACCTCGTCACTGGACCCGTCCAAGTCGATGACACCAACGGGTTGCTGACCCGCCGTCGCCCTCATCACCTCCGCCACTGTGCAGTCGTCACCGAAATCTCCCTGATTAACCTCGTGCCGCACGGTGCCGTCTAGTTTGAAACTGCTGCCCTGAAACGCCACGAAGTCCCTGTCCCTGCCGCTCTGAGGCATCGGATCGCCGCTGCCGACGCCGCGGTGTGAGGACATGTGGCCTATAATAAATAGATCGGCCAATGGTCGCTGCTTGGGCCAAGTCGTTATCGAGATACAATAAACCCGCAGAACATGGATGCGCGATAAGGGTGCAAGGGCCTTGGACGCCCATGTCGAAGCTTCCCGAGCGGGGCGCGGCCAACGAAAGTGCCCAAGGATGGGCCCAGGAAGCAAGGATGCAAGGGTACCCTTGGGAGGGATGCCTATCCTTACTCTGCGGGTTGACGGTGTCCGTAGATCCCACGGTCAAGCCGCCACTTCCAAACCATTGGCTTGCGCGCCATATCTCAGCATGGTTCCCGCGCCCAGTCCTGCGACTGCGCGCTACACATCGTTTCCAGACGGGCTGCCCCCTCAACCCCTGCGCCCGCGATCCTCTTGCGCCCTCCTCGCACGCACAGTCTGGGGTGCTTCGCCTCCAGCGGTAGTGGCCAAATACTCGACGCACACGGCCGTCATACTAATCCATCCAACCATCCAGTTCTCTCTCTTTCTCTCCCTCTTTCTCTCTCTTTATCTCTGTCTCTCGCCCCCCCCTCTCTCTCGATCTCTCTCTCCTTCTCTCTCTCTCTCTTTATCTCTCTCTCTCTCTTTCTTTCTCTCTCTCTCTCTCTCTCTCTCGCTCTATCTCTCTCTCTCTCTCTCATTCTATGCGCACCCTTCGAGATATACGTGCGGTCAGGCGCGATTTTTTTGTGTGCGGGGGGGGGGGAGGGGCGTGGTCGGACGCAAAACCATTTTTCAGGGCTGTAAAAGCAGGATCGACCTACTCATCGCACCGACTGTACACGTATATGCACCCCTGTCTCCATTTCTGCTTGCAAACAAGCGCGACGGCAGTGCGAGGTCGAGCCGCCCCCTGGCTCGGGGAGAGTCAGTCTGACTCGGTCTTCTTCTGATCTTCATCAAGATCATCCCGATCACCTCCCCATCCCCGCGATTGCAAACGATGGGTCGTCGACATTGGGAATTGGCTTGGCAACGCATCGGAATGCGTTGCCAAGCCAATCATAGCATCGACGACTGAATGAGAGACTGACGAGGATGACATGGCTGAGAAACGATGGAATCAGGCATGACGAGCACGACGAGGATGACATGGCTGAGAAACGAAGGATGACTAGGATACATGACGAGAATGAGCATAGGAATGGCTGAGAAACGATGACGAGGAGGCAGCGCCCCTGCACCGCCGCCCCACCTGGCGCAGCTGCAGTCAGCTGTTCCACCTCCTTGTCCCGCGACTCGTACACATTGTCGGCGTTGATCTGGCCTCCCCCCCTTTTCCTCACGATCGATCTCTTTCGCTCGGTCGTGTTTTTTTTTTGATTCTCTCTCTCTCTCTCTGTTTATTTGTTTTCTCTCTCCCTCTTGCTCTCTCTCTCTCTCTCTCGCATGTTATTTGCATCTTGCGTTATATATTACTAGATGCCTATATCACTCCTCCTATTCCTGCCTCTCGGCCTCACTCTCCATCTCTCTCTCTCTCTCTCTCTCTCTCTCTTTTTCGCATTTCTCTTGGCTTCCTGGATATCGCTCTGGAGCTGCATCTCTCTCACTCTCCCTCTCCCTCCCCCGATCCTCTGAATCTAAACGCTCCTCGCCAGGCTCCATCGTACTTCACCGCTCTTCATTGCTGAGCTCATCGCTACTCTCCCCGACCTTGCGATGCGACATTCCCAGTGTCCTGCGGAGTACTTCTTGCACAGGTTGACTATGGCCTGGCGCGCAATCTCGTAAGTCACCTCGCCTTTGATCGTCACCTGGCATACCTGGCTCCACTTCTCGCCTGGCTTCGCCTTCTTCTCCTGCATCACGAAGATCGAGTGCCGATCCTGGGGGCGCGCGAAGGCAGTGCTTCGTCGCGCGGGGCATGGGCTAAGGGTGGATGGGGGCAGGGGTAGGGCGAGAGGGCGGGCAGGGGGGGAGAGGATGGGGAGTATAAGGAAGAGACCAGATGACGAGGATGACCGGAGGGCGAGGATGGACGGGGGGGCGAGGAGGATGGGCAGATAGGGAAGGAGGACCAGGATAAGGGCGATGTGAGGATGGCCTCTAATTCCCCAGGACCTCAGCGCACGCAAGTTTTGAAGTGACAGTGCAATTTTGACACCAACGCTGGAATGGGCCTGAGCGGCGGACAGAAGCAGCGGGACAAACAAAACAAGCATCTCCTTCTGTGGCTTCAACTTGGCCTCCAGCTTTTTCCTCCCATCATGCGTCTTTCCTTCCCACACTGGCGGTACCCTGCCCTTTCCAGGATGCGTTTTCACCTCCAGCGCTTCTGCCAAATCTTCAGGCCTCATGTTTTCCACGCGAATCCATTCTCCTGCAATCTTAGCCCTCACCTCGTTCTCATAACTCGTGCTATCAAGCTCGTCGCTGTAGATGGGCGGACCTTTCTTCGCTCCCGAGCCCGCCCGCTGCATGTACGCCATGGCTTTTGCAGAGCACCACTTCGCTGTCTTCTCATCTCCTCCTGAGCTCTTCCCTCCTGCCGCGACTGCTGCTGAACCTGCAGCTGCCTTCCCTGCTGCCTCAGCCGTCTCATCCAGCTTCCTCTTCTTTGCAGCCTCCTCTGCCTGAGCCGTCATTTCTCGCTGCATTGCAACGTGCCTCCTCTGCTCGATTTCGTTGAGTCTACTCACTACGCTGGGCCATGCATCGTCGAAGACACTTTCCTCGATCTCGTCGAACACTTCAACTTGCCTAACACTAGTCATAACTGTCTTTGATCCAAGCTTGATCCGATGAGCTAGCATTTGTCTCTCTGCATCGACTTCGGGGCCCTCGCATTCTTTATCTGTAAACGTGGTTTCAACCTCTTGGCTTCTTTTTTGCGTGCCTCAACTGCGCCTGCTGCCCCTGCTGCTGGTTTCTTTCGCACCGTCTCCTCAGCGCCGTCACCTGATGCCTCATCATCGTCAGCTGGCTTGGCAGCAGGCCTCTTCGCAACTACTTTCGAGGCTGGTCTCCGAAGCACCTTCTTTAGCTTTTCACCTGGCTTGTCCTCATGATCTGTTGGCTCATCGGATGCTTTCTTCGCTGGCCGCTTTGACACGGGCGTGGCTTTCTCTTCGTTGTGCTCTTCGTCTTCGTCTGCCTCGTCCTCGTCCTCTTCCTCTTTGATGCTTCTAGCGGCTGCCTCTTCCTCCTCCTCTTCTTTTTCCTCCTCATTCTCATTAGTTTCTTCTTCCTCTTCCTCTTCCTCTTCCTCTTTGATATCCTCATCTTCGCATTCCGCCTTCTTGTCCTGCTCGCAATCATCTGACGCGGGCCTCTTCATCGCTACGAACGGCCGCACCCACTTCGTATCGGGGTGCCTGTTGATCGCATCGCGGATGTGGCATAGCGCCGTTCGTAGCCTGTCAGCATGAACCTCAACCCACTCTTCAGTCTCCTGCCCTGCCCCTGGCGACAGGGATTACGCGCGAAACATGCAACCGCCCAAACCACATTGCGACCACCTGCTTCCTCACCTACTGCCATCGTGCTACCAGCAAGACCGTTGAATAAGGAACGAGCTTTTCTGACCACGGCGAGCCTCGGCCACAACTGGTCCTCATGCCAGCGTCTTGGGAGGCTCGGGGGCCGATGGGGAAGAGGGCGACGACGGGGGGGGGCGAGGTGGGCGCGGGGAGAGATGCAACGTCGTCGCGCGAACGCACCAGAACAATCCCCAGTCCCACCGTCGACGATAGCTTCCCCAATCCAGACGTCTTCTTGAGCGCAATGATGAGCCTCATGGCGGCTTTCCACGTGGCCGCAGTAACCTTTTCGCCTTCGACGATCCCCCGCAGCTTGATCAACATGGGCTGGTGCTGCCCGCCCGAGGGGGGACGTCGACCGCAACGACTGCGACGGGAACGTATCACCGACGACGGGCGGATATCACAATGGTAACGAGTTTCACGGATTGAGGGCGGGTGCTTTTCAAAATGTTGTTCTCGCCTCAGCGCGGCGCACATTCGCGTTGAACTCAGCACGGGTTTCACGGATTGAGGGCGGGTGGTTTTCATCAGAACTGTTGTTTGTTTTTTTGTTTTCTCTCTCTCTCTCTCTCTTTCTTTCTCTCTCTCTCTCTCTCTCTCTCTCTCTCTCTCTCTCTCTCTCCCCATCTCCCTCTCTCACTATATCTCTCTCTCTCTCTCTCTGTGTCTCTCCTCTCTGTCGCTCCTCATGCGCCCCCTTCGTTCCCTCATCTCGCTGCTCCCTCCCCTTCTCGCCCCCTCTCCTCATCCTCGTAATCCTTGCCCCCCCTCCCCGCCTCTATTAGCCTCTCCGTGATGACCTCGGCGGAGCGGAGGCCCCGCGGGTACTGGAAGAAATTGGGCCCCCGCACGTGCTCGAGGAGAGCCTCGGGTCGGGCGGGCGATGGAAGGGGAGAGGGGGGACGCTGCGGGGAAACGATAGAGCGATAGAAATAAAGGATGGAAGAGTAGAGGGGGGACGCTGCGGGGAAACGATGGGCAACGCTCCAAATCGTTGGGCGTTGCGCAGGGG